GTATTTACTGTCTATTGGTCGTTGAACTCAGCTGCGACAAATAAATGTTGGATTCCGCGTATGTGTTCCGGCGCCGCAGATTTCGGGCTGTTTTCAGAGGCTGTCTGTGCTGCGACCTTCGGTATTTCAGCTCCATACCCGTAGAACCTGAACGTGCCAGCACGCACGCACGACGCCTTTTCATGTTGTTCTCTACAGTAGTAACAGTACTGATGACGACAGTAGAACCGACCAGGTAACCCTCAACACCAACCTTGTTTGAGCGCCTGCCGTTTCGGCTGTTTTGACTTCAATTTAGAATATTGATGTTGTGTTTTTTTGTCTTGATATCACAGTAAATGTGGCGTGTGGAGGTAGACGCGTGAAATGTATGTGTGTTTTTGAGCAGCCTCTCATGATAATCGATACAACTGACTGCCGCCCTCGGTGCGAATCAACGATTTCTCGCGGTGCCTTCCGACTGGTCTTCTTGTTGGTGTCTGTTGTGCAATTTCTGGTGCTCTTTCTTGCGTTTGTTTTCACAATTAGTCATCAACATCAAAGTTCTTTGTCTGCCATCAGTTATTATTAAGGAATAATAAATACACACACAGAAAGACTACCCATTCGAGATATACCCACAGTTGAACGGGATGTGGTGGAGTCTTTTCAGTGAGTGGAGGAAAACCGGCTGGGTACTGGACTTATTTCGAGTCTTTTAAGTCTATACACTGATGATTTATATCAGTGATGCCAGCTGGTGCTAAGCACAAAAACATCTGCATAGGTAACTTACATTTTACAATGCATCCCCTGTAGTTCTCTACTGGGTCAACGACAAGATATCGTATACTCCCTCTGGGCCGAAATGTAAGATCGATAAGGACACTGGGCAACATATCTCGCTCAGACGGTATTTTGCGGAAGTCCCGAGTTGGATCCCCCCTTAAAACCCAAAAAATATTTATTCCCTTGGTTTTTGCCGCTTCAAGTGTCTCATTTTTGCCAACCTGACGCTTTGCTTCCGGTCAACACCAAAGACAAAGTACGAGCAAATGAAAATTGAAGTCTACAGATAGCTCAAGTACGACAATAAACTTCAATTTTAAATATAAAATCCGAAAAAAACTTTTTGGGGGGGCGTACGACAATAAAATGACACGCACGCTTGATTCCTGACATTTTTCGCTTGAGATCACTGCCGGTGGAGTTACTATTCTCAGGGGGGGGGGAAGGGGGGGGGGGGGGGGGGGACCCCCAAACGGG